GAGGAGAAGTGGTTGTGTTATGTAACAAAACAAAAGGTTAGTGGCCATCATGAAGTCATGTTGAGTTTGTATGTGCAGCACTAGCCTGAAACAAACCCAACATTCTCCTCCGTCAGACAGATAAAGCATGCACGCTCACACAACCATTGCTGCCTCAGCTCATAGCAAACAAAAAACACACAAAATCAATCTGAAAGGGAAGTATGTGATTCCACTCCTAAGCAGGCTGTCTGCCACACTAACATTTATCTACCGGCTACAAAAAATTCAAACGTTGTTTAGATACCTTGAATTTAAATGATCTTACTTTCAAATTATCAGAACTTTAAAAACAAACTTTTCTGAATGCTGCAGATGTTGCTGGAGCAAATATATATTCCAATGCTATAAATAGATTTAAAAACCTACATTGGATGTTTTATAACCTGTAACAGCCTCTACTGTCAAAAACATTGTGATTTGAACGTATTGATCTTTCTGTTTGAAAGGATGCCATTGGTGACCAAGACTCTGGATAGCCAGGAAACCATGACAGTTGGATGGAATACCACCCCTAGATCTTCATCACGGACACACTGATGGAAACTGAATACAGTTCAAAGCAGTGTTAAAACCAACTCACTCACTCTAGGTGAAGGTCCATTATCACTCTTTAAAACTTTTCTTTCATTGAAAATCAATTTGTCTAAGTTTTACAGTAAAAGTTAACAAGAAGTAAATGAACTTTAAAATATCCACAGTTTTGATCATATGAGATTAACTGCACAAGCAGTACTAATTTAAGCAAAATCAATTCAGATGTTCAAATACTGGTAGACATTTTTTCATCTTTTTGTCTTACAAAGAGTGTTTGAAAGTGATTAATTCCAGACAAGGCAAGCACTACATAACATGAAGGAAGGCTAAGTGTGTCTAAGAGGTTCATGACACGATGCCTGGCAGACTAATTGCAACAGAGGCCATTAGTTCTTTATCTGTTCGGGATGACATATTCTTTGGATTAAACAAAATTACAAATATGCTGACAAGTGTAAATTTGGATTTTTTATGGTAACTTTAAAACATTAACATTAAAGAAATGGTCCCTGATGATAGAATTAGCACAATAATGGCTTCCCTTCCACTACACATCCTGAGACTGTGGTTATGTATCATGGTGTATGCAGCTCCTACTGACACACAGCGAGCTCCACTGGATTACATAATCAACTCTACTACCATACATGGCATGGAAAAAACAGTTATGTTGGTGAAATCAATCAGGCTTTTAGAGTTCCCAGCTGTGAAATTCTCTGAGTAAAAGAAAAGCTTTCATTAACCTATCTATGTGAAACCTGGGGTGATATCGGCTGGCACAACATGGCTTCTGCCACAGGACTCAACACTAGCTTGCATTAGTTTCAGTCACAGAAATACACACTTAGAACCTTGCTGACAACCAAGATAATTTTTTTAATAGAAACTACACATCAAGTCACCTCTTGTCTAGGAAAACCTCTTCTAATGTGCACTCCAGTCTTTGTGACACAAAAAAGCTTCCACTTTCACCACACAATGGGTATCATCGAAAGAAAAACATCTGTAAGGACTAAAAAACTCATTCTGGGTTCTCAAACCTTTCAACATGAGTGAACCCCCTTGTATGAAAGCATCTAATTTCTGCTTTCAGACTGAAAAATGAAAAACATCTTGAAAGTACACTTAAACTCACGAAAACTCCATTTCTTAAAGTCATTGTCTGAAGGAAAGTGCAATGTTTTTCTGTTTTTAGGCCTCCTTATTCTCTATCATTAACGTCGTTCTAAAAGTACTCTGGTTGAAAACCGACTTCCATGTATTCAGTTGGCCATATATAAATGAGCAATTATCACGTGTTCAATCTACATGCATTTGAAAGTATGATGGTGTTTTTACATTCAAGCGAAATAGATACCCAGTGAATACTGCTATGATGCCCTGTGGTACACAAAACTATCTGACAAAATATTGTGGGAAGCTAGCTATTACACACTGGTCAGTCACATCTGTGCATCAGGTGCTATTGCTAACATGAGTACAATATGGAGAGACCAATACCGGTATTTGATAATTCCTGCCATGGCTGGCATATTGCTTCAAGCAAGCTAAACCTCACATGTTTAATTCAGTTCAATGGATTTCAGAAAAATGTTTATCAATGATGTAACTAGAAAGGTGTCTGCATTACTTGCAAAAACAGAAGAAACCCAATTCCACCATTTCCAGAATGCCCACAAATTTACCCATTTACCTAAGCATGTCTCATGAACCATTATGACTTTCCCACATCAATCAGCAATCAACTTCAAACATGCCTAAGTACAAGTTTGAAAATGAAAGACTATGCCTGTGGCTGCCTTATGAGTTTTGAGCACCTGTTTAATAACATCATTTACTGCTTGGGTAAACACACGGCAATTGCTCTCAAACTTTCAAACAGAATGTACCACTGCCTCCAGCTACCTCTAGTATAATAACATCACTTCCAGTTTAGCACAACACCTGCCTCATGCAGTGGGGCTTTGAAACAGAAAGTTGTGTGCTTTTATTACTTTATACCAAAATTATCAGAACTTCTGGTATAATAACCTTGACCTTTAACCACTGCCAGGATCTGCCTTGAGATCATGAAAATAAAGTTTCACTAAATTCCAATCATATATGTGCAATACAGCATGACATCGGCCTGATATTAATATCTTATTAACATGTGCTCCACTTGACTATGACAAATTCCTTAGATGATGATTGTAAAACAAATGGGATTATGCATTGCAAATGGATTGCAAATTGAATTCAAAACAATTTCTGAGAAAAAATTATATGTGGTATGGCCAAGTTTATTCATTGTGTATTGAATTTGGCTATTAATGAGAACAAGTTCACTCTTGTTTGTTTACTTTGTTCAGCTAAATAAGCTGTTCAGAAGCACATTTATAACAAGCCTTTTGGGTATTATGTCCAGATGTGTTTGTAAGAATTTGGCAATTATAATATAGATATTTGTTAGGTGCTTTCAGTAGTGTTATTGGCTACTTAATGGTTGGACAGTTTACATTTGGAATCTCCACCTCACTTTGCTGGTTAGAAGTGAAATTTCTTGGCACTGAATACATGGGCATGGTGGGCAAGCTGGCTAAGGTGCCAGGCTAGTGATCCAGCAAGCATGAGGTGCCGGAATCAAGCCCACCTGTGACCGGGTGTAAAACAACCTTGGAGTCAACTTTGTGTGCAGACTCTTTCAGTGCTGTCACAACCCCTAGTGTACAGTACACGTACAACCCTGTGCACTTAAAAGAACCCATGAATCCGTTGGTATATGACCAGATGGTGGCCACATGAATACATGCAAACACCTAGTTGCGGGTACAGCAACGTGCAGTAAACTTGGACAAAGTACTGTGACCATGTGTCCCAGCTGTGGGTACCTCGCACGGATGGGAAAGCCGCAATAACTCGGTGCGCCTAGTGGCTGCAAGAGTTGAATGATCCCCAGGGAGTTGAGATTGATAATAAGATGTGCCGTTGAGATTGACATCCAATGATCGAGGGAAAAACTACCAGCGCCTTGAGCATGCACCAGTGTGTGGATATATGCGGTATATAGATATCCAATAATAATAATAATAATAATAACACCAAAACATGTACAAATCTCAACACTTATACTGTTCATCATCCATTCTAGTTTGAAAACAAATCAATAACAGATTTAATTACTAACACCTGTGACTGAAAATGAAATTATCCAATCAATAAAACTGTGTAACAAGGCAATGAATATTCATTTTCAAGATAATAATTGCTTCCCAATCTATTTTTTAATGATCTGCTCATCCAGAAGATCAATACAACTGAGTCAACTGACATTTAGGATCAGATCATAATTTTAAATCATGTATTGTTAGTGTCTTCAAATGACGTCTGACACTTGAACTATTATATTGCATATCAGCTTTTGTTATTGTAAGGCATTCACAGTATCTGAAATATAATTATCCCTCATATTATATTATTTTCTCACATAAATATCATCATATGTATCATCAGTAATACATAGCAACTCTCCTCATTCATATGCAATTTGAGGATGAGATCAGCTAGATCACAATCTGTTCCCAGTTGGCCTGATATTCAGTTCCACCTATGAAGCTTGAAGTTAAATGCCAGACTGGAAATGCTGTGTCTGAGAAGACAGAGCCACCTGTGTCTCCTCCGGGACATACTAGTAATAAAGAAGTTGTCATCCATGAATATTCACTTCTTCCTGTTCAAATTCTCATATCAATCAAAGGCTTCATGGGCACAGATGCAGTATTTATCACAACAACCCTGCTGGTTGTGTAACGCTTAACTGGAAGAATTGAAATAGGATTGGAAGCATTAAAGATAAAAAAAGTGACCTCAATTTTTCATGTGTAAATGCAAACAAACTGCCCCCTTCACAATGGAACAAAATCAATCCTATTAATTTTGATGGTTGATTGATTCTGAAGCAGAGATTATTGATTTTTAGTGGCAAGCAATTTGCAACATCTTGGCAGTGTGGCTTTCAGCATATTTCTTGTAATGAATGTGTGGGTGAGTGAATGTTGTAACATTTCAGACTCATCGACATCCCATGCAGTTTGTATATAATCAAGTCTGGATCACACAAACACTGGGTAATATTCCTTAATAGGATGGCGATTAGGTGCCTCACTTCGAGAGTGTGGATTCGAACCCCAGGTGTGACTCAGTCCCCAAACAGGACTAGAATCTGTACTTTACTGAGAAAGTGTTATCCCACATATAACACATGTTACAGTGAGCAATAGCATGATATATGGCATAGCTAACCTAATAAACTATATATTACATAACATGAGAATCAACCAATGACGGCAGAAAACAATCCAACATTATGACCACCCAATCCACATTTACATCTCCCGCCACAAGCCTGGGAACCAGTCCTGCAACACAAAATATATGCCACTCACCTGAGAATGGGTCATACACTGGGGTGTAGAAGTAGGTCCGAGCACAGGTTAACGGACCTTTTTGGATCCACTGCCTGACACAGCTGTAACACACAAAGGTCATAAGAACATAGAGCGTCATTAGCATATGACAAAATCGGGATAATCTTGTCGAAACTAATCCAAATATATGACATACAGCTCAGTCATGTTAATTCTGATGGTAGTGTTGATAAAAAGAAAATTGAAATAATTATCTGCATTTGACATATATAGTGCCCATAGCAAGATAACACCACTGAACAAAATTTACAGTTTCCCCTAAAGTGTCTTTTTCAGTATTAAGTTTAAAAGATTCATATGCATGAAAACTGTAATGTCCTGTGTATACCATTTAGGGACTGGTCATTTATAATGATGGGAGATTGGTTTTAGGAGTGACATACCGGATGCCCACTGTAACATGTTTCCATGGCCTTCCCTCTACAGATACATTCATGCCCTTTAACAAAACTGTGATACATTTTAGCGACCCTACCTCTTTTTCTGTGTCAATTTTCATGACCCCAATTAATTTCCCCTCAACCCCCTCTGACTACCTGGGTGGAGACAATGGTTTGTAGGGATTACACCATGCATCATGGGAGATGATATTATACTGCCATATTTCTGCCAGGGAATAGTATCAAACTGTATGACAAGTTCCTAAAAATCACTTCACTGATAATAATTGGTGAGGAGGCGCTGTCTTGATTGAATGTTACCAAGGAAATATTAAGTCACTTGGGTGGTAATTTGAACAGCGTCAAGAGATCAGCCTATTATGACATAACTCAAATTGCACTTTATTACAAGATGAAGAACTGTCTGCGCCTTTGATCATTCAGCAAAGTACATTATATACAGACATTTATTCCCAGGAGACTCCACACACTTGGGCATGTGGAGATTATGTCTTTTATAAGAAATGTTGGTTTTTGCTGAATCTAATGTCATCCCATTATACAACACAAGTTTTTATGTCATATGTGATTAATCTCATGTATTTTCCTTTTGATACAAGGTAATTTGATACACAGCGTAAAGAAAATACGAGAAAACACAAAATTGAGGTGAGTCACATGAGCAGGTTTTGAAAAACTTCATCTAACACTAAAATACAGAAACATTTTTAAAACAAAGTGTGGTAATAAGATATGGCGAATCCACGAGAACACTGAGTCGTCTGGAAGACAACGGAACTAATCCAAAGAACAAGTGAAAGGATTTTGTCCAATATCTGCACTGCGTGTCACAAGCAGCTGATGACTTATACACTCTATTACATCCTTCAGCATGACAAAAAATTATTTCGTTAGCCATTTTCACATGATTTTCAGTGTTAGAGTAATAAATAGGCCTTAAAGGTCTGTGAAAAAGTTCTGTATTATTATTGTACATTTGCAATAAGATCTATAACAATGTTTAAAAACATGATCTATGAAGTTTTGTCAGTCAAGAATACATGATCACACATATTTATGTATACACATGTATTTAAATATTAGGGTACCGTGGTAACAGCGGAGTGCATACAAACTTCAGATACAGTAATAAGTAGCTGCACATAAGTGAGTGAATGAATGTTGTTTTATGCCTCTATCAATACTATTTCAGCTATATCCCTGCATCCTGTAAAGAACTGAGTCAGCTCAAGGCAAACCAGGGGTAGATAGCATGAGCAGCAATCCACTAAATCAGGGAGCAAGTTGTACTTGGGATATTATTTCTTAACAAATATTAGGGCTCGGACGGGTCCAAACTTCCTGGCCGGGTACCCGACCCCTTATTACCTGACTCGACTCGACGACCGGGTGCCTTTATAGCACTAATTGCGAGTTATTATCTTTCAATAAAATCAGTCATTAAGGTTAAGAGCGACATCTGGAAATATTTTGAATCCGTCGCATCAGGCACAAAGACAAAATGTATTTTGTGCTCGGTGTAGCTAAGTCACAAAGGATGGGGGTAGGTCATCAATGTGGAAACATCTGAACAACAAACATCCATCGTAACAAACAAGGAGCTACAAACAACTGCCGTTCCCACAACCTCGCTGATTGGATAGCAGGTCGGTGATGCATGCAAATTTCCCTGTTGACCATTTACATCAAGCAATACATCAAAGGTTTTCAGGTCGATCATAAATTATTTTGCTTACCTCATTACGGCAACCAATCACAATCAAGGTTACATTTAGGGGAAGGGGAGGGAGAGAGACTCTGGCCTAGCTAGACCACTTCTTCCCCACCCTTGCTCTTATATCAAAAGGGGGAGATTCTGGCCTAGCTAGGCCACTTCTTCCCCACCCTTGCTCTTATATCAAAGGGAGATTCTGGCCTAGCTAGACCACTTCTTCCCCACCCTTGCTCTTATATCAAAGGGAGATTCTGGCCTAGCTAGACCACTTCTTCCCCACCACTTCTTCCTCTTATATCCCCTCTCTTATATCAAAAGGGGATATCAAGGGAGATTCTGGCCTAGCTAGGCCACTTCCCCACCCTTGCTCTTATATCAAAAGGGAGAGATTCTGGCCTAGCTAGGCCACTTCTTCCCCACCCTTGCTCTTATATCAAAAGGGAGAGATTCTGGCCTAGCTAGGCCACTTCTTCCCCACCCTTGCTCTTATATCAAAAGGGAGAGATTCTGGCCTAGCTAGGCCACTTCTTCCCCACCCTTGCTCTTATATCAAAGGGGAGAGATTCTGGCCTAGCTAGGCCATTTCTTCCCCACCTTTGTTCTGATATCAAAAGGGAGAGATTCTGGCCTAGCTAGGCCATTTCTTCCCCACCCTTGTTCTGATATCAAAAGGGGGAGAACAAGTTATTACAAACATCAAACCGGCAAGATATCCCAGGAATTTTGAAACTCTAGACAGTAAAGCCTCAAGGTTTGCCCTATTCCTATCACATTACAATAACACACATTTCAATGTTAGGTCAAGGTGTGATTTGACTGTGAAATCATTGTGCCTGTGTAAAATATTTTGACAGTTGCATTGTTTTATTTTCATCTCCTGGACATGTATCATTTCCATCAAGCTTGTCTTAGGCCAAAGTTTCCCTGGGGAAGGTTTGGCCAGGGGTAAAGTTTGGCCTGTAACACCGGGTATACAGGTTACCCGTCCCAGCCCCAACAAATATGATGTTAATCCAGGAGAATGTCAGGGATCATATTCAGTGAATTTTGTGGCTTTATTAAATGGCTTTCAAATTCATTGATAACATATTTTACATGATTTATCTGAACAAGAACAGTCCTACATCAAACGTACAATGCACTTACAATAGTGTGAGTTGTCTCCCCTTTCATGGAACTCTTCTTGGATTTGTAGCCATCCATGTCTTGTGCTTGAAGCAGTTCAGTCTTACTAGCATTGTTCCCAAACAATACAAAGGGTAACTTTCTGCTCCTGAAATGATACACCCGACAATGAGATAAGCGATGCACCGATTCATGGCAATAGTGTATGAATAGTATGGTGTCTGGTGTCACATTCATTCTTATTGTTGGCTGTATTCATCCATATGCTCATTCATAACCATGTTGAATACAAACAATAATGGTAATGGGGAAATGTCTCTTCATAAATATGATGACATTCCAAACAAGAGCTTTCCAAACAGGTTCCAAACACAGATGGTTTCCAGACTAACATGGCTTTGTATCCAACTGAAGACTAATGGGGCTTTGTTTTAATGCAGCTGCAGACTAATGTGGCTTTGCATTAGTCTATAGCTGCATTAGTACATATCAGTGTACAGCTGTATTAGTGCAAAGACACATAAGTTTACAGCTGCATTAGTACAAAACAGCATAAGCCTTCAGTTGGATTACTACTGTTTTGTATTTATGCGGCTGCAGACTAATGTGGCTTTGTACTAATGCAGCTAGATACTGTGGCTTTGTATCAATACAGCCATAGACTACTGTGGCTTTGTATCAATACAGTTGCAGACTAATGTGGCTTTGTACTAATGCAACTATAGACTAATGTGGTTTTGTATTAATACAACTGTAGACTAATGTTGCTTTGTATTAATACAGCTATAGACTAATGTGTTTTTGTATTAATACAGCTGAAGACTAATGTGATTTTGTATTAATACAGCTGTACTAATGCAGCTATAAACTAATGTGGCTTTGTACTAATGCAGCTATAGACTAATGTGGTTTTGTATTAATACAGCTGTAGATTCATGTGGCTTTGTATTAATACAGCTGAAGACTAATGTGGTTTTGTATTAATACAGCTATAGACTAATGTGGTTTTGTATTAATACAGCTGTAGATTCATGTGGCTTTGTATTAATACAGCTGATGACTAATGTGGTTTTGTACTAATGCAGCTATAGACTAATGTGGCTTTGTACTAATGCAGCTATAGACTAATGTGGTTTTGTATTAATACAGCTGTAGACTAATGTGGCTTTGTATTAATGCAGCAATCGACTAATGTGGTTTTGTATTAATACAGCTATAGAGTCTAATGTGGCTTTGTACTAATGCAGCAATAGACTAATGTGGTTTTGTATTAATACAGCTATAGAATAAAATGGTTTTGTACTAATGCAGCTATAGACTAATGTGGTTTTGTACTAGTGCAGCTATCGACTAATGTGGCTTTGTATTAATGCAGTTATAGACTAATGTGGTTTTGTACTAATGCAGCTATCGACTAATGTGGCTTTGTATTAATGCAGCTATCGACTAAAGTGGTTTTGTACTAATGCAGTTATAGACTAATGTGGCTTTGTACTAATCCAGCAATAGACTAATGTGGTTTTGTATTAATACAGCTGTAGACTAAAGTGGTTTTGTACTAATGCAGCAATAGACTAATGTGGTTTTGTATTAATACAGCTATAGACTAAAGTGGTTTTGTACTAATGTAGCTATAGACTAATGTGGCTTTGTACTAATGCAGCTATAGACTAATGTGGCTTTGTACTAATGCAGCTATAGGCTAATGTGGCTTTGTACTGGTGCAGCTATAGGCTAATGTGGCTTTGTACTGGTGCAGCTATAGATAAATGTGGCTTTGCACTAATCCA